CAGTAAAGCGACATCCTCCACAACTGGACTGAAGAACAAAAAGACAGCAACTTGTCTGTTCCCCTTCCCCAATTCCCCAGCGCTGTTCCAATTCCCCAATAAAAATCTTAAAAAAAAAAAAAAAAGATCCTTAAATTTTTTTAAAAAAGTGGTTAAATATTTTAAAATATTGACTTTTCCATAAAAAATGGCAACACTAAATATTTCTAAAGACTAAATGTGGGAAACATCAATATTAGCCCAAATTAACTGGTTAATGTTTAATGATAACACAGGTACACACAAATCTATGCCTTAACATCTCTCACCCTTGTATTGCAAAGAGACAAGATTTAAAGGGTGTGTGAGGGTTTCGGGCAGAAGGGGATAAAATTCTAACTGTGATAAATGTCAGGTGCAGATTCAAATGGTCCCAATTTTCTGTTGTTTCTTTCTTATGTTCTGTCTGAGGGGGAAAACAAGAAATGTGGGGATGTACTATTGAGAGACCTTGTAATTGTCACCTTTACCCCGCTGTCCAGAGAATGAAACGTTATGTTCAGTTGTACCTTTTTCTCTATATCAGTGATTCTCCAAATGAGGTACCCAAACCAAGAGCCTCAGCATTGCCTGAGAGCTTGTCACAAATGAAAATGCTTGGGTGCCCGCCCAGACTTAATGAGTCAGAAACTCTGCGGTCAGGGCCCAACAACCTGTTTAGTAAGTCCTCCAGGTGATTCTGTGGCATTGTGAAGTCTGAGAATCACTGTTCTATATTAATGTAATGAGAAGAGTTGAAAAAGGGTGAAAAAATATCTCAGGAAGAGTAAAAAATACTGGCTTCAATTTTATGCTTTTATTGTGAGAATATTAATAAAAAGTTGTTTAAGACTTCTTCCAACTCAAAAAACAATACCCATTGTACAGAAGATAAAATCTTTAAAAAAAAGAAGCTACCTATGTAAACCAGAGGCCTAGCACAGTTCAAGTAAGAAAGACACATACATTAGAGTATGATAGGGGCTGGGACAGACCATGCACAGAAGAAGTATCTGATTCAGAGGTGGGGGGGAGAAGGGAGTGGATGTATTTTCTTCCAGTCTTTTTCCTTTTCCCGTTGTTACAGTTTAAACCTTGTCACCTCTGAATAAAAACCCAGGTATCCCACTCTCTGAATAAGACCTTCTCTTATTCTAGGTCTCTCATTCAATTATATCTAGTATATTTGTTCCTCAACTTCATAGAGGTTTCCAGGCCCTATGCCTTTCTTTCTCCATTTTTCAGTCAGAGCCTATCATTCTCATATTCACCTTATTTCTTTCTTTGCTTAGACTCTAGTGAACATTATTGTTTTGCCTAATTCCTCTTCCCTCTGCTAACATCATCTTATTTTTAGGAACCTCATCCTTCCTACTTTAGCTTCTATGGTTCATTACTTGTTTAATCAATTACCTTCTCTTTCTAGCCTAGTATTCATGGTCTATTACTTTGATGACTTTTGTCAATATAATCAATTCTCCTCTTACCTCACTTCCTTCTTCCTGGCAAAATCTCAATCCAAGATCAATCCAACCATCTGTCTCTTCTGGCCATATACCCTGACTGCTAAGTACTGAGAGAGTAAAACACTTTTTAAAATCATAAAACACTATTGATACATAGTTTCCAGTCTCAGCTGGGCCTTCAAAGCTGCCCCAAAAGTAGTTATGCTTCCTCAGTAAACAGTCTCTTTATTCCCTTTAGAGATTATTCTAAACCTTTCCTATTTCTCAAATCTGACCAACTCCCTAACACTCTTCACCAGAAAACCTTGCCTCCAGATAAGAATTCCCCATATCTTAATCTACAAAATTGGAACACTCATGCCCATCCTTTCCTTCTTCAATCTTGTTATAATACAAGTGTTATTCTTCCCAACCAAGGTGCTCTCCACTCAGTCGCTTCCCAGCTTCTCATAGACCCTATTCCATTTATTGCCCTCTCTCTTATATCTCAGTTTCTATCTTTCTCTTTCTTGTGGCTTCTTTCTATCAGCATTTAAAAAGTTAAAATACTATCATTTACTTGTCTACCATACATATTTCTCCAAAGAAGATAATAAACACAAGAAAATAAGCTCAACATCATTAGACTTTAGGGAAATGCAAATAAGCCACAATGAGGTATCACTTCAAACCCACTAGGATTGCTATGATCAGAAAAATAAACAATAACAAGGGTTGGCAAGAAGGTAGAAAAATTAGAATCGTAGTGCGTTGCTGGTGGGAATGTAAAATGGTGCAGGACCTGTGGAAAACAGATTGGTACTTCCTCAAAAAGTTAAATACAGAATTACTATACTACCCAGCAATTCAATTTCTGGGTTTACATCCAAATGAATTAAAAACAGTTGTTTTCTAAAAAAATACCTAGGGCCGGCCGAGTGGCGCGATGGTTAAGAACTCGCTTGGGATGCCAGAGGGCCCCGGTTCGGATCCCACATATGAGGGCCAGTGACACT